TTAAAAATTATTTTGAGAGAAAATATATTTAGAGCTGTTAGAATTTGGCAGCACATTGCTTTTATTTCCCAAACACAAGGTACATGTCTATTATATATAGTAAATCCACAAAAGATATTTCCGCATCTAAATTGGAAAGGCATGGAGATAGGATGCATCTCAGACATACACCTTTTCTGAATTTGAACCATGCAGTGTTTCCTTGTTCTGTTCTGACGACTACTTCCTGGTCCGAGTATAGGTTTCACATAAATACAATTTAGTGTTCTGGAATTCTCATTCTTTTCAAGGTTAGCCACAATTTGTTGTGATCCACACAGTCAAATGCCTTTGCATAGTCGATGAAACACAGATAGACATTTCTCTTGTGCTCTCTGCTTTCAGTAAGATCAGTCTAACATTGGCTATAAGGTCCCCGCCACTCCTCTGTCAGTTCTCTGTCAATGTACTAGTCCAATCACTTTTAGATAATCTTCAGCAGGGTCTCTTGCTTGAGTGTTATATTAGTGATATTGTTTTATAATTTCCACATTTTTTTTAAATGGGAATAAATATAGATCTCTTCCAGTCATTGGCATGCAAGTTGTCCTCCAGATTTCTTGGCACAACTTGGTGAGCATGTCCAGGGCTCTATCTGTTTGTTGAAATATGTCAATTGGTGTTCCATCAATTCCTGCAGTCTTGTGTTTTTTTGGTGTGTGGTGGTTTGTTTTTCCCCTTAGTGTGTGTCATCGAGTCGGATCTGACTGGCACAGGAGGAGACTGCCCATCCTTCTCCAGTGGAGCATCTGGTGGATTTGAACCAAGCACCTTCAGGACTGCAACACAGCTTCTTGCCACTAGGCCACCAGAGCTCCCTAGGGTCTTGTTTATTGCCAATTCCTTCAGAGGAGCTTGAATTTCTTCCTTCATCCCCCTTATGCTGTTTCATTAAATTCTTCTTTGTCAGTTAATTCTTTTTAGTATAGTGACTCTGTATACTCCTTCCATTTTCTTTTGATGCTTCCTGAATCATTCAACATTCTGCCCATAGCATCCTTAAGTATGGCACCTAAAGGCTTGAATTTGTTCTTCAGCTCCTTCAGGTTAAGAAACGTTGAGTGAGTTCATCCCTTTTGATACTTTTACTCCAGCCCTTTTCATTACAATACTTTGCTTTGTCTTTCCAACCTGCTATACAGCTCCTTAACTTCTGACAGAATGAAATTAGAGGTGGCTAAATCCATGGGTGGGGAAGATCCTAACAGAGAGAGGTGGGCCCAGGCGGGAGATGGCTGGCTGCACAGACCCTAAACATTTAATAGACCTCACCTGAGATGCTCCATTTAAGCTCTATACCCCACTAAAACCCCATTACGTACTATCTAGTAGGAACCAACTCATAGCTGATCCTCCAGTGGGGTTTTTAGAGGCAGTAAACCACACGGAAGAAGAGTGTTCTTTTTTTTCCCTTTCTTTTTTTTTTTTCTATAGAGCAGCTGGTGGGTTTGAACCATGTGCCTTTGGGTTGACCATGCAGTTCCTTACCATCAGGCCACCAGAGATCCTTCCAGACTAATGGGTTGGAAAATACCAACTCTAGGTAATTGCCATCAAGTCAGTTTTAACTCACGGCAGCCCCACAAACAACACAGTAAAACATTTTTTAATCTAGTATCATCCTCACAAGTGTTGGTATTCTTGAGATCATTGTTACAGCCACTGCATGTTTTAAGTGCCTTCCAACCTAGAAGACTCATCTCTCAGGGTTGTGTTCAATGTCATTCTGCTGGGTGATTTTCAACAGTAGATCACCAGACATCTGGTACAGCGTCTGGAAGGAGTACACAGGGTCACTGTACCATCTCAGTCTGGAAGTGCCACTGAAGCCTGCCCACTATCAGTGAGCTGTCAGCATCACAGGAACACGTAAACCATCATAAACTGGCCTACAGTGGTTGCTGTTGTGTACCATCCAGTTAGAACCAACCCATAGCTGACCCTCCTGTGGCAGTTAATTGCAAAAGAAGAAATTGCCCATCTTTCTCTCATGAAGAAGCTGGTGGATTCAAACTGTGTGCCTTCAAGATTACAACACAGCTTCTTGCCACGAGACCACCAGAGCTGACGGTAGAAAATACTAAACTCTGAAAAGTAAAAGCACCTTCCAGGCATGATGTAATGTCTCTGAATTCCAGTCCTAAAAGCAGACCTCTCAGTAAGAAGTCAGTGCTAACATTAGTGAAATGAATTCCAGTGTCAGGATTTCCAACATCCAACCTCTCACCTCATTCTCACTTGCCTCTGTAACAGCCCTGCCTCCTGTGGATGAATGGCTCTGATGATGGGGAACTCCATCTTCCCAGAGACAGATTAGCAGTGCAAGGGGGTTCATTCCATGGAAGAGCTGTTCCTGGCTGGAAAGAAGGACCAAGCTAACAGAGATTGCATTTCAATTTAGCAGACACGCATGGACTCTCACATTTTACAGTATGTGCTAGATACAACAGGCCAGGTATTAGCTGTTGTTGTTACTGTGTACCATCAAGTCAGAATCAACCCATAGCTGACACTCCAGTGGGTTTTCAAAGCAGATGATCACTTGGGAGGAGATTGCCCATCCTTCTCCCACAGAGCAGCTCGTGGACTTGAACTTTGTGCCTTTGTGATTACAGCTCTGCTTTTTGCCACTACTAGGCCATAGACATTCTATTTATTTATAAAACAAGTACATTTTATTTATATTGCATATCTATACAGATAGAAAGTAGATTAGTAGTTACCAGGAGTTAGGGATAAAGGGAGAATGTAAATTGACTCTTCTTTGGTTTTTTTTAAGGAGTCTTGTGGTGTAATTCATAATGTGCAGGACTGCTAATCAAAGGCCAGGAATTTGAAACCACCAGCCCTTCCATGAGAGAAACATGTACATTCTCCTTCCATCAAGATTTACATCAAGATTTCCTCAGAAACCTCATCACTATAAGTGGGAGTCACTTTGAAAGCAATGAGATTTTGTATTCTTAATCACTGAGGGTAACAGTAGTAATCTTCTTGTCCGTGGTATATTAATGACGTGCAGAATCTTAATTAGTCCTCCTAACAGTTCTGAGAGATTAAGACATTTGGACCCATTTTACTGATGTAAGTAAGGTAAAATTCAAAACAGATTGTCATGCCTTTCTTCCAAAGCCTCTAGGTGGATCTGAACAACCAACCTTTTGGCTAATAGTCAAGCACTTAACTACTTGTGCCATCCAGGGACTCTAGCTAGGACTCAGACAGATGAAGTAACTTGACTGCTGGAAAGACACCAGCTCAATAGGTATGATAAGAAGAAGCGGTAAGAAGCTGTGAGGCAATCCCAAAGACATACAGTTCGAATCCACCAGCTCCTCCATGGGAGAAGGAGGGACAATCTCCTCCTGTGTCATTTGTTGTTGTTGTTATGTGCCGTCGAGTCCTTTGCGACTCATAGCGACCCTATGCACAACACCCCTAAACCCTGCTCTATCCTGTGCCAATCGCATTGCCTCTGACACACCCATCCTGATTACCCCAGTCACTGAATCAATCCACCTCGTAGAGGGTCTTCTGCTTCTGCGCTGTCCCTCCATCCTACCAAGCATGATGTCCCTCTCCAAGGACCTGTCTCTCTTTACAACATGTCCAAAGTATGTCAGAGGAAGCCCCAGAATCCTTGCCTCCAAGGAGTAGCCTGGTTTAACCCTCTCTAGGATGAATCTGTTTGTTTTCTTGGCAGTCCAGGGTACATTCAATACTCTTCTCCAGCACCACAGCTCAAAGGCGTCAATTCTCCTCCTGTCCTCCCTAGTCATTGTCCAGCTCTCTGATGCATAACAAGTGATTGCAAAGACCATGGCCTGTATCAGGCGCACCTTGGTCTCCAGAGAAACACCGTTGCTCTTGAGTACTTTAGAGAGGTCCCTAACAGCAGACTTTCCCATCGCAATACGTTTTTTTATTTCCTGGCTGCTGGTGCCAAGAGTGTTGACCGTGGAGCCGAGCAAACTGAAGCTGTGAACAATCTCAATCTCTTCACCATCCATCCTGATGCTACCAATTGGTCCAGTGGTGAGACTCTTTGTCTTCTTGACATTGAGCCTCAGTCCATACTGAAGGCTGCAGTCCTTGACCCTCTCCAGCAAGTGCATGAGGTCCTCCTCAGTTTCGGCAAGCAGGGTTGTGTCATTTATTGCCTCTGAAATCCCACTGGAGGATCAACTATGGGTCGGTTTCAACTCAAAGGCACACAACACAAACAACAACAATGGACCCTCTTCTCAATATTCCATGTTATGCCTCCAAGTTGTTCATTCTGCAAAAGTCCAAATTGTTCCATTTCACAGATTATTTTTTTTTAATGCTTTTACGGTTCATTTGAACCATTTGGAAACATCCTGATTTGAATGTTACAGTGTTATGGGAAGAGAGAGCAAAGAAGGTTGTGCTAAAAATCCCAAATCCTAAACCCTAATTCTCAGTCCCAAACTGTGGAGGAAACCTCTACTCGTCAAGCAAGCCAAGAGGACTTTAAAAGTCCTGGCAAGAGCTCTGAAACCAGAGCCTGCTAGCATGTGTCCCCGAGTATCAACGGAGACACTATATTTACCCTGAAAAGCTCTTTGGACCGCAGGAAGGTTATAAATAGCCAGTAAGGCCCAAGCAAGTGGCCTTAACACATGGATTTCCTTCCAAAAATGCAGACCCATTTTAATTACATTCATAATTAACCTTTGGGGAGGGCAAGCCCCCTGGATTCGGTTTTGTTTTTGGAGACACCGTGAGTAATTTCCTATTCATTGGACATTTGGGGATTAGCACGCTGGGTGCTGGGCTCAGAAGCCACTGTCTGAAAGCTTGCACAGAGCTCAGCTCCCCCGAGCTGAGGCCTCAGGCTGGACGCCGTCATGAGCGTGCCCTTGCAGCCCTCAGCCGCCCTGCCCGGGCCACCACCTGGGTCTCCTTGCACAGCTGCTGATTTTGCACTGTTTCCCCCAGAACAAGATGGGAGTCACGGCGGTGTTTGTGCTGCCTCTGCTGCTATTGGGGATCAGCGGCCTCCTCTTCATTTACCAAGAGGTCTCCCGGCTGTGGTCCAAGTCGGCCGTGCAGAACAAAGTAGTCGTCATCACTGATGCCGTCTCAGCGCTGGGCAAGGGTAAGTTGGCTTCTCCCCATGTGTGCCCACATCTGTCCCGAGGGGCCAGCGGTGGCAAGGCAGCATGCGAGTGAGCCCCTTGGACAAGGGTCAAACCCTGTGCTGCCTTCAAGTGCCTTTGGAAGCATGAGCTTGTCGCCCAATATGTGGAAGGCCTGGGCTCAGTGGGGTTGCATGTTTGTTGCTGAAGCCCAGCGCTGACTGGCTGGTGTGATTTATTAGGCCTTTATGAGGTTTCCAGAAGTTCTGAAGTGTTGTACCTTTCTCAAAATTGTTATAAACTTAGATTTGCAAGCTGAGTTTCATTGCTGGATTTAGGACTAACAAGCTGGGTGGCACACTGTTTAACTTCACTATCCTGGTTTTCTCTAATGCAGAATGTTGTTGCCAAGAAGAAAGGAATAAAAAGCACTTAGTGGTTGGTGTTGTACTGGGCACCATTCAAGAGTCAGTAAAGACCACAAAGATAAATAATTGTAGGCAGAACATGTCCACTCTGCAGGTCCCAGTTGTGTTCCATGCAGATGAGTCCTTGTTACCACATTACACATGAAACATATATCCTTCTGGTCTTGAAGGCATTAGTGGTTGCAAAGCCTGAACTGCATGGCTCCAAATGGCCCGTCCACAGGTGGCATCTCACACAGACCTGCATTTCTGTGTGCTTCTTGTTAGTCCAAGTTCCTGATGAGAAAATCATTATTTTCATCACCTTGGCATCCCCAGCATCTCACACAACTTGGGCCTGCAGTCAAACTGAAAAGTTCAATGCCATCAAGTCAGAACCAACTCAGAACTGAGTCTCACACAGGTTTTCTTAGGCTATAAATCTCCCAGAAGGAGATTGTCTATCTTTCTCCTAAGGGACAGCTGATGGATTTGAATCTCCAGATAGGAGTCACCTTGGGATTAGCAGTGCAGACCTCTGAGGGCCACACCATCCGTCCTCCGACAGCAAGCAAACAAAAAGATTCCTGAAAAACCTCTCCAAATTAAGATTTAACAAGGAAAACACCCTCCTTATCCAAATGATAAGGAGGTTCTTGTATATTTGTTTTATGAATTTCTAGCTGGACTCCAAACTGGACAGAGAACATATGCCGTAGTGTTTCAATTCTTTCTCAAAATGACTGAGGACATGATCTATCTTGGTGAATGTCTAATAGGTCCTTGGAAAGAATGTGTCCAGGACTGAAATCCAGATCTCTCCTGTGGAAGGTGACAATTCTATCACTGAATTACCACTGCCCTTGCTAATATATACATATACAGTTTCATTTCTTTAAAAAAAAATCTTACTAGGTAATAGTCACACCTTGTACAAATGAGGCTTAGGCACAAATGGTCTTTTCAGAAGAAACACAGCCTTGTTTCCGTCATGACTATTATCAGAGGATTTTGAATTTGTTGTTATAAAACTGTATCTTATTGACCTACCTTGGATGGGGAAATGCAAAGCACAAAAAAGAAAGTCTAAATATTTAGAAGTAACTTGAGAAGCTGGATGTGAGTGACCTGAAATAAATGACCAGTGAGCCTGCTGCTGCTGGCCACAATGGCTTAAGGGCCTAGCTGCTCCATTTTTGCAATTTTGAAGCAAGAAAAAACAAAAAAAATCACAGTCCGTGGATCCCAGGTCCCAGGAAACCAGATGGAACTCTGTGTATAGCGCTGGATAGTGGCAAAGAGCCCAGAGCTGAGTTGTTTACTAAGAAAGCCAAACAAAGATTGAGACTCTTAATGCCCACCTCAAACCCACAAATGCAGCCAAGTTGGGAATTGCTCCTCTAATCCGTTCACTGTGTCTGCAGCAAAAATGACAATCCAAATGTTTGCCTGCTGGTGCTTGGACTGCTTCCGAGAGCACCAGCTACATCTCGGCCCTTCCTGTGGTTTTCTCCTCCCTTCCCAGATGCAATTTTTCACATTACTAGATTAGAGTGATTATTTTACAGTCGGAGGCATCATGCAATCCTCACAAGCCACTCTTTTACGTTTTAGTGTTTCTAAAATCAGGAAGCATCTCAAACCTGGTGAAATAGGAAGGTAAGGGCTCAGCTGATATTAGCATGACACAAGAGAATGTTGAGCTTATATCTAAAAATAAGGAAACCTGGGAATAGCTGAATTGTGGCTTCAGCAGAAATAACCCATTTGGAAGTGGTGACCCCAGACCGTATGCACAGCTCTGGACTCCAGCATCCTTGCCTGCCCTACTGGGGAAAGAGGTATCTGTGGAGAAGATGGGAAATGAGTGGTAAGAACATTTCCTGGCTCCCTCTCCTTCAGAAGCCAGATATTTGTTCTAGTTCTTAAACACCAGCACTCTCAGCCACTGCACTGCTCAGCTTGCCAATAATGCAGATCATCACAAGATAACGAGAAAGTGTGGGTGGAAAATGATAGACCCCAACATACTTCTTTCTCAGCAGTGAGAGGGAGGTTGTCAAGGAGTGAATCTTTGCAACAGTGGCTGAGCTCTTAACCATTTATATCAATAACTTCTTTCTTCAAAGTCAAGTGTATAGCATTGTGTTAGACACATTGTGTTCAATCTTTTTTGAAACTTACCATACTATGACATTTTTCCATGCTAGAATATCTGTAATATTTGTGTCTAGAAATATTTCACATATAGATGACTTACTTCATCAGTCTCTTATTAGTAGTAGACATTTACAATGATATCTAACTTTTTACTGTTCTAAAAGGATCCCAGACCGTGTACAGATGGTCATATCTGACCTTTATCAACTTCACAAAGGGGAACTGGCCCCATCAACAGTATCAATAACACAAAATCAATTCCTGTGAGGCTCCTGTGTCTTTTTCTACTCATCTCAACACGAATCTTACTGCTTTGCTGGGTCCAAAATCTGATGTGATCACTCACAGACCACACAGAACCATTTTGTGAAAGGCAAAAAGTTATACTCCAAATTAGTAGTAGAGTACAGTCAGGACAGCTTCTGAAATGTGCACCTAAGTCTCACCTCATGGATTTAGACCAGGGTTACAAAATTCTCAGTACTGCCAATATCGACTCTTACCCTTTCCCCCCAAATTCTCTAACAAACTTGGGCAAAGGCTCTTAGCCTAGCTCTTGTTTTGTCCATGGGGAGCAGGTATCAGCCAGCTCTGTCTCGTGCCAGGTCTCTCTGGTCCTCTGCTCCAGCTATTGCTGCTGCTGCTGAGGTGTAGCTGGAACAAGAATGTCTGATCCTAAGGGGCATCCTACATTCTCTTGCTACTTTTTTCTTATCTTCTTGCTGGTGGGGAAGGTCTATTCTGCAGCTGGAGCTGCTTGACTTATTGGCGAGACTAGCCAATCCTCTTGTAGATGGGTGAGATTGGCCAATCCCTCTGTGCACTGGTGAGGTAGCCAATCCCTTTTCGGATAGACTAATATGCCTTATTCACATTTTCCTGCCCATCCACATGTTAGAGTCAAGATGAGTGGCTAAGAAAGTCATATTGAAAGATTAACTACACAATATTTTAAATGGCACCAAGGCAAAAACTGCTTTAACTATTATGTTAGGCTTGATTCCAGAAACCAACGAAGTTTATCTATATCTATATCAAGGAAATGGTTTAAATCTGTGGTTCAGACCTCAGAAGAGATACTTGTGTTTATGCACTGGCTGACAAATCCAAAGATGGCAAGGAAGGCAGGACGTTGGTTCAAGTGATCCATCCACATGCAAGATTCTGATTGAACAAAATAGAGAGTTTTGTCAGACGTCCACATATATTCCATGTAGACCACACCCTCTATGAAATTCTCTTTCAATGATTCGCTGGTGGTAGTAGATCTCATCATTAAAGCCACTGACTCATTTGTCAGTTTGTCTTACTGTGATGGCCAAAGTGCTGCTATGAGGTTGGAAGTTGTGCCAGCAATATTTCAAATATAATTACAATCACCCATGGTGGATATATTTCAGCAGAATTTCCAGAATAAGATAGACAAAGGAGAAGGTCTGGCCATCTACTTTTAAAACAACAGGCCCTTACAAACTCTATTAATAAGGAAGAAACATTGCTCAGCAGAGTGCCAGGAAATGAACCCCTCAGGATGGATGGTGCTCAAAATTCAACTGGGGAAAGCTAACTCCTCAGAGTATACTGTAATTTAATGATGTTGATTGTTATTGTTGTTGCTAGGTGCTGTTGAGTCAAGTACGACTCAGAGCAACCCTAGGAACAAAATATTTTAACCCTGTTCTATTTTGTGCCATCCTCACACTTCTTGACATGTAAAAGCCATTGTGGCATCAATCCACCTGGTTAAGGGTCTTCTTCTCCTTCACCAACCCTCCACTCTTCCCAACATTACGTCCTTCTCCAAGGTTGTTCCTTCTAGTAATATGTCCAAAGTATGTGAGATGATGGGTCATCATTCTTGCCTCCAAAGAGCACTCTGGCTGCACCCTCTCCAAGACATATTTGTTTGTTCTCTTGGCTGTCCATGGGATATTCAGTGCTCTTCTCCAACACCACAGCTCAAAGGCATCAATACTTCTTCTGTCATTCCTATTCATTGTCAAGCTCTCAGATGCACAGCAAGTGGTCAGACAGACTATGGTCTGAATCAGATACACCTTAGTCCTCAAACTGATATCATTAATCCTCAATAATTTAGGGACCCTAACTGCAGATTTTCCCAGTGCAATGAATCTCCTTATTTCCTAAATTCTGGTACCAAGGTTGTTGTTGTTTGTGGATCCAAGCAAGATGAAGCTGTTGTCAGTTTTAATCTCCTCTCCATCCATCATGATGCAGCCTCTTGGTCCAGTGGTAAGAATCTTCATTTTCCTGACATTGAGAGGCAATCCATACTGAAGGCTGCATTCCTTGATCTTCTGCAACAAGTGCTTCAAGTCCTCACTTTCAGCAAGCAAGGTTGTGTCATCTGCATAACACAGGTTACTTATGAGTCTACCTCCAATCCTGATGCCACGTTCCTCTTCATAGGGTCCAACTTCTCAAATACTTTG